ATAAAATATAGGCATATGGCACATCAAAATGAATCTTAGAATGTGTAGATTTGCCGAAAAGTATTGATATGGACGAATTTCCTAAGGACTCTGCCCTACAGGCTGATTTCCGAAGGGCTACGCCTCGCATGCTTCCTATGTTAAAATGATTTAATTTTTAGTTAATGAAACAGCTGGTCAGTACAATGAACTGGTGTTTGTTTTTTTACTCGAAAAATATGTTTGTGACGCATTGTAGATTGAGGAGGGTTATGATTGGTTTTTAAGTGAGGTTGTATACGTTCTGTAAAGTATTGCTTAAAGTTTCATTTTTTATTTTATATAGTAAGCTACATGTGAAGAGGCTTGACTAAAATCGAAGAATTGTGATAACACATGTCATTTATGAAGCATACATATGAATCAATTGATGCTATTGCTACACTAAGGTATGTTGTCATACTCTTATGGATCTATTAACATCAAAAGTAGGGGTTTGAAAGTAAGTAGGTTTACGCTTTTAAGTCAGTTTATATTTTCATAGTAAATCAAAGAGTTGCTGTATTGTAATACACATATCAGCACCACTTTAATAGCTCTCTAGGTCCCATTTTCTTCCCGTTGCAAAGCACGGGTATAGCAGCTTGTAGATATTTATGACCGTAAAGCATTAACTGTATACGGTTCGAGAAAGAGCACATAATTTTGAAAACTCCAAACTACAATTACATTGTTATTAATTTGTCTTCTTGCAATGTTTATGCTTAGCTTTTCCCACAAATAATAATTATTTGGGTGGTCATAAATTATTGATTAATAATTGATTAGAAAAAATCTGTACAAATTACCTAAACTGTGAATGTTTAAATTATGTTTTCTGATGAGGTATAGGACCTTTTATAATACATGTTGGACGCATCCCGTCCGTTCAAACAGCCTGCACCACCATTTGAAAGAAATTGTTACTCAAAGAATTGCAGGAATACCCTAAACAAAGCCTTCTTTGAGTGTTTATTACAGATCCGTTTTCATTATACCAAAGAACACCACTTTGCTTTATATTGCATTGTCTCCTTTGCTTGATCAAGAGTTGTCGCTCAGGTGTGAGAAATTTTTCCTGGGTGTTTAGAGCGATCACTCAACCAGTAGTATTGTACTTTTTATAGCAGCTTTTGAGCTGTTTTCACATGATTGCCAAACTAGATTCAGTAAAAAACGTAAATTTCACAAAAGAAACTTCGCAGCTAAGTAAATTGTACTTCAAGACAATTATTAATCAATTATAGATAAAAGAAAGTGTGAGAGGAGCATTTCAAATGAATGGTTCTTTATAATTAATGTTGATAAAAACAATAATACCAATAACATTTGAGTTCGACTTACAAAAATAAAACATTGTACTTAACATATTTGAGTCAGGGACCATCGTAGGTTGCCACTGTAACCAGCTTCAGAAAATTGAAATCAAGCTATGAAATCAACTTATTTTAAAATAAAAAATGTAATCGATACCAGTACATATAGAATGGCAACTTTGTACTTTTTATGTTATCTGTAAGTAGGGCCTAATTTAATTTTTAAAAGTCCTGTGCTCACACAGTTTAGCGTAACAATTCCAGTTTTGATCCATTGATGTATAAAATGATTGCTTTCAGTAAGCTTTCACTGTAATTAATTATGGAAATGCTGCTAATTTAGCAATGTCAACCCTTTGGTCAAATCACGCTAACTAAAAACACCATATGCAATGCATTGTAGGTAAATTGTGTTATTAACTAATTCAACAGAACAAAACTTTTTTTAATTAGTTGATATCTGTAATTATATATATATTTTCATTTGGTATGATCACTATTACATAAGTTTCTATACGCACAGGAAGATAAAGACGAACCGGGTGTTTTTTAATCGAGTGTGATACTTTTTTGGTAGTAATGGAGCATTTAACGGTAAACATGTATGTTTGCGTATAATGAGTATGTGCGAAATGGTAAGCCTATGACAGCAGTGCAGCAACCTATTTTAGTTCCCTTAGACGTCATAACATAGTTTCCAGCAAAAAATACAATCCTTATGAATACTTAAAAATTGAGGAAAACGGGATCCATCAGAAAAAGAAGGAGCTTGGCAAAAAATTACTGTAGATGATGAAACTGTTTGGCAAGCTTTGATTCGTAAGTGTTGATATGATCAAGTGCGGTTTTGGAGGTCACAGGTGGGACAGCAACGTTTGAAAATAATATGCAAGTTTATTTTCAACAATATGTACCTACTACACTGCTCAGAGTTCAATCGCTATGGTGTGAATAATGTTTTTAGGGAGGGGTTTTTCATGTGATTTTCTATGTTGCCAAGGCTACCAGACTAGAGAAGTGGGTAATTTTTTACGGTATTAAATGTTGAGTGCTTTTCTGGTACTTTCGAAGCAGCATAGGTGCTCAATAATATGTTTCTGCAATTATTTTAATTAGAGTTTGGAGTTATAATGATAATGTATTGTGTCACAACTACTATTGGTCAGTTGGTAAGGTCTCAAGTGGTGTGCAATGAAATCACAATAGAATACGAAAGAAATTGTGTATAAAGGTGGTAAAAAAAACAAATAAAAAGTGCAACAGGGCAACTATGTTTGGTGTTTTAAGATATACAAATCATTAACACACATTAACATATTGGAGACTCTGCATAAAAGAATTGTCTTTCAGACGATTCGAGATTGTTTCGAAATTTAAGCTTTTACTAACATTTTAGAGAAAAAAGGTTCCCCAGATTTATTTTAAATCTGTGGGCCAATTTGATTGCACTGTTGCAGTGTATAGTTATAGGTTTACCTTAGTACTAATAATTACGATGAAGTAATAATTTAATGTAACTGAGTATGATGATAACATGAATTTGATAATAATATGATGATATGGTAAGCTAGAAAACCCCCATCTTTATTAAAAACCACCTCAATTTGACAATATTATGAATTTTCATGAACAGTACTTTCTGAAATGAGCTATTGACACAGAAAAACTATAGAGTATTTTAGAAAATCACCACTGATTGAATCAAACTCCTACTAGATCAGATGGAATGTCCTTACATTTTTATATAAAGCCAGTTTTCATCCTTAGACGTGAATCGAACATTGAAGATATCAACATGGTTGTCAGTGGTAATATTACTGTAGGTAGGCTAGAGCATGCAAGTTATAAGGCATTGTTAAACGTTGCCGTCATCTAAACACCTTTTTTAAATGAAAAATATAAAACCTAAGTTAAAAACAATCGAACTACATCTAATTCATATCATAAGAGTTCTCTTGTTTTGCAAATCAGATAAGTTAGAAGATAAAGTTGTCAAGTTGCAGATTATTATGATGTATAGGATAGCCTGTACGACTCAGTAACTGACTAATTATAAACTATTGCTGGTACACTATAATGAAACCGTAAACAGTATTAATTCAATTTACCTTGAAATAAGATTAAACAAGTAGGCTACTTAAGGTAAGTTAATTAATTCTTTGTTTGAAGTTCATTGTTGGTGATGGTGAGTTAATGTTGTTCAAAGGTTTATTGCGGACATTTTCCATCACGAATGTAAAAAAAAAAAAACAATACACAACGTTTCGGGATCTGGAATCTGATCCCGTCTTCAGGTGAAAAAACTTAACTAACACATTACAACTAACAATACACAAACGCCCAACCTAAGTTGGAATACACTACCGAGGGTAGTAGTCAAAAAATATGCACTGTATAGCAGTCAAGTCATGATACAACATGCAATTAATAACAAATCACAAAACACTATAATCTATAAAAGGTTTACGTACAAAAAACTCACACAATGGAACACTAACAACACCGTACGCTATGACTCCACCAATGAGACTGAACCAACATGGCTGACCAATCGGAAACACGGAGACAACAGAAATGGCTTCCGGTCCCTGGAAAAGTAAAACCAACAAAATGGCGGAGCGATGTACGATGCCGCAAGATGGGTGTTAATTATGTTTATTCATATCACGAGTTTTACTACGAGTTAACATAACGTGCGAATTTTGAGGAGAACTCGTTATTTCCCTATTTATTGAACAATTAAGTTCCCTATCCTTTAGTTCCTTGTTCAAAATGGGTAGCCAAAGTGGCCTTATTTCAACCGATGACTGACTGATTGGTTGGTCTGCTAATTTAATGTATGAGGCTTCAATGAGTTTACGTTTGAAAAAATGAGGTTCCTTATGGACAATTTTTGCCTCTTCAAAATTCATACGATGATTTTCGGACCAGCAATGATGAGCGATCTTAGATTTTTCCACTAAACCTTTTTTGGTGTTTTCTCTGTGTTCTTTGATTCTAATGTTCAACGGTCTTTTTGTCTCGCCATAGTAAGGCCTGGAACAATCATTGCAATTTATTCTGTAAACACAGTTTTTAGTATCCTGAGTGTCATTTTTGGGTTTTGTTTTGACGAGACTCTGCCTAAGTGTGTTTTGTGTCCTAAATGCTGTTTGCACATTAAATTTCCTAGCAACCCTTCTGATTTTTTCCGACAGTCCTGACACATACGGGATTGACATGTGGACGAGTTTTTCCTTGCGATTTTGTAAAGGTTCACGCGTAGCCCTATCTTTCTTGCATTTGTTTATAATGGATCGAGGGTATCCGTTACTAGCCAAATCCTGTTCTACTTTCTTAATTTCATCCTTTAACTCATCCTGATTGGAGCAAATGCTCTTAGCCCTGTCAAACAGAGAGTAAGCAACCCCCTCCTTGACAGAAATTTGGTGGTTTGATTGAAAGTTTAGATACTGCCCTGTGTGTGTCTTTTTTCTGTAAACAGATGTTCTAAGACTGTTCAAATGCTTTTCTACGCACACGTCCAAAAAGGGGAGTTTGTTTTGTGATTCCACCTCCATGGTTAGTTTTATGGAGGATGAAACACTATTAAGATGCTCTAAAAACTCATTCAATTTATCATCTCCATGAGGGAAAACCACGAAAGTGTCATCGACATATCTCCACCATATCCTCGGTTTGAGCCGAGCTGAAGCCAAAGCTTTTTGCTCAAACTCCTCCATAAAGATGTTGGCAAAGATAGGTGACAATGGTGACCCCATGGCCATACCCTCATCTTGACGGTATAATTTACCCTCTAATTGGAAATAGTTACATTGAGTACACAACTCCAAAAGTTCCATTATGACGTTAACAGGGAGTTAAGTTCTGTTTGCTAAAGTATCGTCGTTTGTGAGACGGGTCTCAATTATTTTTAGGGTTTCCGAAACGGGGACATTCGTAAACAGACTTTCAACATCGAAGCTGACCAGCTTGTCAGTATCAGCCAGTACGATAGATTTAGACTTTTCTACAAAATCTTTGGAGTTTTTGATAAACGAATCAGTGTTTCCTACTAAAGGCTTTAAAATGTCCAGAAGGACTTTAGACAATTCCCTACAAGCAGAATCACGGGAGCTAACTATTGGTCTCAGAGGAACGTTAGGTTTGTGGATCTTAGGTAACCCGTACATGTGTGGAATTTTGGAATGGTGTGGTGTCAACCGAGTCCTTTGTTTGTCGCTAAAAAACTTTTTGTGTTTTCTTAGAGTACTAGCGATTTTACGCTCGAAAGTTTCTGTGGGGTCTTTTTTCAATTGGGTGTAATGGCCAGATTGCAAAGTTTCTAACATTTTTTCTTCGTATGTCACAGTATCAAGAACTACCGTGGCATTCCCTTTATCCGCGGGCAAAATCTTTACAGTACCGTCTTTCCCAAGGACTGATACTGCTTTGGTTTCCTCTTTACTAAGATTAGGTTTAGGAGTAGGAATTTTCTTTAGTAAAATACTAGCTTCACAACGGAACTGATCCCCCTGAGACTCAGGTAACTGAGAAACAGCAGACTCAATCCCTGTCACAAAATCCAGCGTTTTAACTGATTTAGGCACAACGGAAAAATTTAGGATTTGGCTAGTAACGGATACCCTCGATCCATTATAAACAAATGCAAGAAAGATAGGGCTACGCGTGAACCTTTACAAAATCGCAAGGAAAAACTCGTCCACATGTCAATCCCGTATGTGTCAGGACTGTCGGAAAAAATCAGAAGGGTTGCTAGGAAATTTAATGTGCAAACAGCATTTAGGACACAAAACACACTTAGGCAGAGTCTCGTCAAAACAAAACCCAAAAATGACACTCAGGATACTAAAAACTGTGTTTACAGAATAAATTGCAATGATTGTTCCAGGCCTTACTATGGCGAGACAAAAAGACCGTTGAACATTAGAATCAAAGAACACAGAGAAAACACCAAAAAAGGTTTAGTGGAAAAATCTAAGATCGCTCATCATTGCTGGTCCGAAAATCATCGTATGAATTTTGAAGAGGCAAAAATTGTCCATAAGGAACCTCATTTTTTCAAACGTAAACTCATTGAAGCCTCATACATTAAATTAGCAGACCAACCAATCAGTCAGTCATCGGTTGAAATAAGGCCACTTTGGCTACCCATTTTGAACAAGGAACTAAAGGATAGGGAACTTAATTGTTCAATAAATAGGGAAATAACGAGTTCTCCTCAAAATTCGCACGTTATGTTAACTCGTAGTAAAACTCGTGATATGAATAAACATAATTAACACCCATCTTGCGGCATCGTACATCGCTCCGCCATTTTGTTGGTTTTACTTTTCCAGGGACCGGAAGCCATTTCTGTTGTCTCCGTGTTTCCGATTGGTCAGCCATGTTGGTTCAGTCTCATTGGTGGAGTCATAGCGTACGGTGTTGTTAGTGTTCCATTGTGTGAGTTTTTTGTACGTAAACCTTTTATAGATTATAGTGTTTTGTGATTTGTTATTAATTGCATGTTGTATCATGACTTGACTGCTATACAGTGCATATTTTTTGACTACTACCCTCGGTAGTGTATTCCAACTTAGGTTGGGCGTTTGTGTATTGTTAGTTGTAATGTGTTAGTTAAGTTTTTTCACCTGAAGACGGGATCAGATTCCAGATCCCGAAACGTTGTGTATTGTTTTTTTTTACATTCGTGATGGAAAATGTCCGCAATAAACCTTTGAACAACGTAAGTTAATTAGTCTATCAATCAATATAGTAACATGAGAAGATGCAAGCGAATTTGAATCCTCATTAGATACGGGTTTATTTTAAAATATTTGCAATAAACTACAGTATTATAGTTTCCAGAATATGGCGAATGCGGCATATCTGACTGACATGACATGACGTTTAAACATCTTCCTGGATGCTCTTGGTAATTTGTTGTTATGATTTATAAGTTCATCGCTTTATAGTACATAAAGAAACAGCACACGTTCAAAGCTTGTCTATAGCTAGACTATAGGGAATTACATTGATGTTCAAAGGCTTTGACGCCCTATTACAGGCTTAAGTGCAATTTCCTTGGGGATTGGCTATTTTAGTGCCGAGGTGGCTCTGAACTAACTCGTTGCCTGCCATAATTCTACACGAACTTAAAATGCATTTAAAAGTAAAATTAATAGTATGATGGAAACATTAAGTAGAATATTGCGAAAAAAAATTTATTTGAGGTAAGAATATAATGGTTGATTGTCATTATCTACGTATACATTTATTTTCTAAACTAATACTAGCATCAACCCCGGGTTTTTCTGGGTATAAATGCTAAGTACAACATTGGTTATCTGCCCGGTTACTGGTTTTATAGATGTACACACACCTTGGTACTATTAAGTCTGTAATATAGGCTAATAAATATGCTTACTCTGGCAAGACATTATAGGCGTACTACTATTTTCCATTTCGATATTTGATTTTGAAAGTTACACTCTAAAACGGAATATTCTTCCGCACATGTATTTCACGCCGTACTCAGCATGATATCTAACATTCACTATTTTTAGTCAGTGGAACATACCTGTGTTGTTATTCATATGTGTTTGAAAACATATAGTGTTAGAATATTATTTGTTTAGTTTTTGTTGGTAAACATTCTGAATCGGGTTTATTGTAAAAAGCTACCTAATAAAGTATTTGTCTTATTAAAACTATATTTTAATTTAACTTGCGATAACACTACATGGTGGCAGCGGGCTTTTTATTGTTTTAGCAATATACAGTACATGAAGATGAAAAGTTTTAGTGTTCCTACCCCAGAACATTTTGATTTTAAAGGAGAAAACTGGTCTAAATGGAAAACCCGTTTCTTGCGCTTTCATGCGGTATCTGGGCTCACCAATGAAGACGAACCATATCAGGTAAACACCTTACTATATATGATGGGCGAAAAGGCCGAAAGCATATTTGAATCATTTAATTTGACATCTGAGGAATGTAAAAGTTTCAAAACTGTTATAAAAAGATTTGATACATATTTCGCTCCTTCTAAAAATGTAATCTTTGAGAGGTACATGTTTCATACTAGGGTTCAACATGAGGAAGAGCGTGTTGAGAGTTTGATTCACGATCTTCATGAGATGGCTTCTAGATGCGATTTTCCTGCTTCTTATAAAGATGAGGCTATACGAGATCAACTTGTTGAGCGATTAGAGACAAAAGTTTATCTGAAAAACTACAAATGAATGCAGATCTAACACTTAATTCTGCCGTCTCAAATGTTAAGCAAGCCGAATCGGTTAAAATGCAACAATCATTGATGAGGTCCGGGTCTTCTGAACATGCACTAACTGCAGATAAAGTCACTTCAAGGACTTGGGGCACTAAATTTGCTCAGAAACCTCCAGTTGATTCCAAAGCGTCCAGTAACAATTACTATAATCAATGCCAGTGGTGTGGTAACGCTCAACATGAACGACCAAAATGTCCTGCCCGGAATATTTTCTGTCGAAACTGTAACAGGAAGGGCCATTTTGCTAAATGTTGCCAGTTCAAAAATGTCAAGGAAATAAATTCAAACCCTCTTCAAGATCAAGTTATTAAGAGTGAAAAATTTGTGGGGTCTGTTAATCCTCAAAAGAATCCTAAAGCAAAATAGTCTGCTGAAGTTAAACTAAATGGAGTATGTATTCAAGCTAAGATAGACACTGGAGCTGACGTTTGTGTCTTGCCCCAATCACTTTATAAGTTGAAATTATTTATGTACCCACTAAATTCAAGTAACAAAGCTTTAATTGGGCCTGACGGATCTGTCCTTAATATCTTAGGCGTATTCGAGGGTACAATCCAGTACAAGAATCAATATTGTAAGTCTCAGTTTTATGTAATATCTGGTGCTGATAGAACCCTTTTGAGCAATGAAGTTAGTGAAAAATTGGGTCTAGTTAAAAGGATGTTTCGAGTCAACTCAACTGGCTCATTTGATCCTTTTACATCATACCCTAAACTTTTCAGCGGTCTTGGTGATACACAAGCTCATTATAATATAAAATTAAAGCCAAACGCTGAACCGTACTCTCTCAAAGTTCCAAGGCGTGTTCCCCTACCCTATAAAGATGCTGTAAAAAAAGAACTAGATGAAATGTTGGATAAAGGTGTTATCGTGAGAGTAGACACTCCGACTGACTGGTGTTCACCTCTTGTCATTGTCCCTAAAAAGGGCAATTCAATAAGACTTTGCGTAGATTTTACTAAACTTAATGAGAGTGTTAAACGAGAACTATATCCTGTGCCCTCTGTAGACTACACTCTGGGACAATTAGATGGTGCTAAGGTGTTCTCGAAACTAGATGCTAACTCGGGTTATTGGCAAATACCCATAACAGAAGAAGCTTCATATTTGACTACTTTCATCACACCTTTTGGAAGGTTCAGATTTTTACGACTTCCTTTCGGGATTTCCACTGGTTCAGAAGTATTCCAGCGTCAAATGTCTGAATCACTTGAAGGCCTTCAAGGTGTTGTTTGCCATTTCGATGACATAACTATATATGGGAAAGATATGGAAGAACATGACAAAAATTTACATCGTGTTTTGTGTAGGCTCCAGGAAAAGGGCTGGACACTTAATAGATCAAAATGTGTGTTCCGGCATGACAGTATCAGTTTACTAGGCCACCTTGTAACTAAAAATGGTATTAAGCCAGATCCCTCTCGTGTTGAGGCTATCCAAAAACTCAAGACGCCAACTAATGTTAAAGAACTAAGGAGGATGCTAGGTGTTGTCAATTACGTAGCCAAGTTTATTCGTAATTTGTCGACCATAGTTCATCCACTACATGCTTTACTGCAAAGAAATACAGAATTTGTTTGGGGGCCTGATCAAGACCAAGCTTTGGAAAAGATTAAACTGTCATTAATGTCCGAACCGTGTCTCGCTTTGTACAGCATTTCTAAAGAAACCTTCCTCTCAGCGGATTCCTCGTCATACGGTATTGGAGTTGCACTACTTCAGCTTCAAGAAGATGGAACTAAACGTCCGGTGGCCTATGCTTCGAGAAGTTTGTCATCAGCCGAACGTAATTGGGCTCAAATAGAAAAAGAAGCTCTAGCGATTGCTTGGGGTTGTGAACGGTTTGAACACCTCATTTTAGGGTTGCATTTGCATATTGAGACAGACCATAAGCCCTTGCTCTCCATATTCAAGATAAAAGACTTGGACAATATTACTCCCAGGCTTCAGAGAATACGACTCCGACTGATGAGATATACGTATGACATACCTACACGACCGGTAAACAGTTGATTTTGGCTGATGCACTGTCTCGAGACACAGAGAACTCTGAAGAGGAATGGGAACTTACAGAGGAAATCCTTGCTTATATACAAAACATTGACACTACTCTACCATCAGTTTCGGATGAAAGGTTGCGAGAAATAAATCAAGAAACTATGAAAGATGAAACTCTAAAACATGTGTCACAGTATTGTGTGAAAGGTTGGCCAGAAAAATCTAAGATTCCAGAGGATGTATTGCCCTACTGGTATCATAGAGAAGATATAAGTGAGCAAAATGGTATACTTCTCTTTGGAAGTCGTATTATAATACCAAATTATCTAAGAGCTAATGTACTAAGAAGTATTCATGAAGGACATCAAGGCATAACAAAATGTAGAACAAAATCCTTTAGCGAATCTAAGAAGATCAACAAGACAATTCAAACCTACCCGGAGGTTCGATCTTTAATGGGGAGATGTGTTGTTATTCATATGTGTTTGAAAACATATGGTGTTAGAATATTATTTGTTTAGTTTTTGTTGGTAAACATTCTGAATCGGGTTTATTGTAAAAAGCTACCTAATAAAGTATTTGTCTTATTAAAACTATATTTTAATTTAACTTGCGATAACACTACAATACCCTTATTCGTAATGTCGATTATTACACCTGTAACTTAACGGTTATACGTATTACACTTTAAAAATAGCTGCCGCTCAAAGATTCCAAATTCAAATTCAAGAAATCTTTGAGCGGCTACCATTTTCTACTCAAACGCTCTGTTAAAATAAAAAATTGGGGCAATGGATTTTACTGACAAAGACCTTCAAAATTGATGAGCATTTCAACTTATACTTCATGCAAGTATTTCCACTTACCTCTTGGGCGTTCCCTTTATTTGATAAAAAATCTCAGTTCCTTTAAAAGTGAATTTTTAAAAGGCATAGCATACCAATTTATACCTATCTATACAAAATTAAAAAAAAACCCCTATATAGGCAAGTATGTTTCTTAAAGACCTTTTTTCTCAGCTCGTGTGCATCACAAGGAAAATCTATGCATACTGTAAACAATTTATTTTCCTGTAGATGTGCAAAATCCCTGTCTATACCAAAATAGGCTACAAAATAAGAAGGCAAATTAATTTTAAATTTTAATAAATATTAACATAAACCTTAAGAGTTTCAATGCTTTTGCCAAAATAACAACGATATATAAACAAAAAAGTGGAAGAAGTTCGATCATATGTTTTATTTACAGCGTTGAGTGAAAATATAGAAGTCTGTGCATTACATGTTTTTTCGAGTTTTCGACCACTGGACGAAGTCTAGTCTATATTAAACCATTCTGGGACTTTTTCACCACCCTGTTTAGTGTATATGAGCAGATCGTTAGTAAAATATTAAATATTATGTGCCACTGTACACGTTCCATAGTAGTTTATGGCCTTTATACGAGTATTTATATTATACTGCTTATTGATTACACAATCAAATAAAACGGTTTTTCATTTACTAATGACAAAAGAACCCGATTTCTATAATAAACAAAACGCTAATTCACTCTTTATTTAAGAATCATAACTTAATTACGTGTAACCTAGTTTTACAATACATTATTCTCAGTGGCTTAGAAAATAAGTCTACACATATCATGGTATCGTAGTTTTGATTGGTTTTTGGAATATACATTTGTCCTGACGAATAGATCTACCATCAATTATGAAAATACTTATAGTATAACTCAATTGATTATACATGTCATCATATCCAAATGCTGAATTTGTGTTAAATTTACGAATGTTCGCAGCTGATAGTAGTAAATCCAATCTAAAATGTTAGCATCGGCCGATGGACTTTTTCAAAATTTAGGTAAAATAAACATAAAATACCCCCGCCGCAGCAAACCTGACGCCTAAGCGAATTTCCATTTGGCTGAATTGATTTTCAATTGATCTATTTAAATAACATTAGGTTTAACGAGTACCTAGGTTTGCTGCTACAAGGAAACTAATAAAGTGTGTGTTTTAAGTAAAATAATTATTGCTTAGTATAAAATGAATATATTTGCCAAGTTTGATCAAAAGATATCCATAAACAAGCAAACTACAACATTTTACAATATTCTCTATAAGAATAACATGGGAATTTAAATTTACCATTTTTTTAGTTTTCTCCGTAACCAATAACCGTACAAAAACACTTTGATATACTGAATTGTTTGTTTTTTTAAGCTCTTTAAGAAGGTTTAGAGAAAAATTGGGAAATTTTGTGTTTTGAGGGTCAAAAGTGAGAAAAACCAATTTTTACCCCATAAAAC